ATTGTCTCATTCTACTGGCAAAGGCAATCTCCACTAAATTCTGTTTATTCTCTGTTTATCTTGTTATAGAATGTAAATATAACACCAGCCAGTCTTTCAGGAGTGTTACAATGATTAAGTAATTAACATTTGGAAAACTCTTGAGGAAAGAAGCAATTCTAAAGATTAGAAGAAGAGTTATTAAAGCAAACAGAAGACATCAGGTATTTCCCAAAGCAATAATTAAAAAATGTATTACTACTGAAAGTGTATTTCTATCTTTAAAGATTCTGGTTTGTTATTGCATAGCGAGAATTAGATATAATAGACATGAGGCAGACAATCACGTTCACTTAAGATTTGTACATTCAGCAAAAACCCCACTGTTACTGTGAAACCAGCTTTGAAGAATAGATGGTTTTACAAGTCCTGATGCTGCAAACACTTAAATTTAGCTCAGAGATATGATTATTTGCATTGAAATCATGGAAGTTTTTCAGAATCATACAGACTGGCATATGCATCAATTGCAGGAAATGAACTTCAATTATCACCACCTTTCACTTCGACCACACCTGAGTGAGTTTCCTGGGTACACTTATTTTTGGAGTGTTGCTTCATAGTTAACTACTGCATAGCATGTATTGACACATGATAACATTTTTAATATTGCAAGCATGCATAAAGATTGGACAAGAAGAAAAGAGGTGATTGAGCATTATGACAAAATAGCATAGAATCATAGAATCATTTAGGTTGGAAAAGACCCTTAAGAACAAGTCCAGCCATTAACCTAACACTGACAAGCCCACCACTAAACCATGTCCCTAAGCACCACATCTACATGTCATTTACATACCTCCAGGGATAGTGACTCAACCACTTCCTGGGCAGCTTGTTCCAATGCTTGACAACCCTTTCGGTTGAAGAAATTTTTCCTAGCATCCAACTAAACTTCCGCTGGTGCAACTTGAGGCCATTTCCTCTCATCCTATCACTTCTTACTTGGGAGAAGACACCAACACCCACCTCACTGCAACCCCCTTTCAGGTAGTGGTAGAGAGTGATAAGGTCTCCCCTCAGCCTCCTTTTCTCCAGACTAAACAACCCCAGTTCCCTCAGCCACACCTCAGAGTACTTGTTCTTTATATCAATATTGTGTAAAACAATACAGAATTTCATTTTCATCTTCTTTACTTGCAAAAAGCTCAAGAATGTATATTTAAGTCCAAGTGTGCTACAAAAAAAACATGTATATTTAAGTCCAAGTGTGCTACAAAAATGTATTATGCTTTTATTATGTGTAAATTTTGCATAGCGATACATTTAAACAATTATATTCTTATACTTAATCAAACAATTGATTTTTTAAAATGAAACGAGTCATGCTTTGGTGACTGTTCAATCAATATTCCTGGCAATTTCAGGGAAGATACAGTTCAGTCCTCTCCAATGGACATCAGTGAGATACTAAGGGAATAAAAAGATTTCAAAGTCTCAGTGGACTTCAGCCAAATACAAAAGACAGCTTAAGCCCAAATGTCGTGGAATTCCAAAAGGACTGCAAAGTTTCACAACGAACTACTTCAGCTCCTGATTAGATTTACAAAACACAATACTTGGTATTATGATGTATACAAAATGAGTCCCTTGATATCATTTTCAGTCACAGACCTCAATTGCATTACCCTTTTACCTTTGCAAATACATGTGATTTTACAGTTACAGTTCTCAGCTTTTTAAATTCAGGAAGATCCTTTCCAGTATGATATGATCTGCCAGTAATCTATTTCAGCCACCTGCATAACTGAACACACTTAGAAAGTTACCAGTGTGTTAACTCTGCTCTCCTATGCATCTTATGTTATACATAAAAAGTGATAACTGAAATCAGAATGTAGCCCCATAATAATTTTTTTCATCTTTGCAAATATATTTCTTTTGAAATGGATTCTTCAGAAGTACAACAGCTTAACTGTTTCTTCTATTTGGAATGTTTCATTCTAGCTAAACCTTCATTGACAATTCTGATGCAACTAGCAACAAGAACGAGAGGAAATGGTCTCAAGTTGCTCCAGGGGAGGTTTGGACTCGATATCAGGAAAAATTTCTTTGCTGAGAGAGTGGTCAAGCATTGGAACAGGCTGCCCAGGGAGGCTGTGGAGTCACCATCACTGGAAGCGTTCAAAAAATGTGTGGATGCGGCACTTCAGGACATGGTTTAGTGGGCATGGTGGTGTTGGCTGGATGGTTGAACTTGATGGTCTCAAAGGTCTTTTCCAACCTTAATGATTCTGTGAGTACTAGGAGGGTTTTTTTTTAAAAGAAAATATACCAACAGTCAGTTTCATGCTTTTAAGACCTAAATAAATGAACCAAACTCTGAAAAAGATTCTCTTGAACACATATAAAGATTGAAGTTTGTGTTCTACAAGAACCTGCATTATAAGTACGGTATGCATTAAAATCATCTGCTATAAATAGTAGAATTTGTTCTCCCAGAATCCAGACTCAGGAGCACGAGGTTTTGTAATTTTTTAAGAAAGGCCTGAATAAGCAATGAATACTGAACTCTAGTTAAGTAGTTATATGCAACAATGCCCTGCAATTCAGTGATAGCAGAAAGCCATGATTTGAAATTAGTTACACTGCATATAAGCACTGTAAAAAGCATCAAAGCAGTTAATGGATTAATGCAGTACATAATAAAAAAATTCAATCCCAGTATCATAGTTACTGATCTGGAAAATACAGCAATGAAAAATACCCATGTTTGCTAATACAAACTTAAGTTCTTTATGTTACCATGAAAATAAAATAAAACACCCTTCCTGTGTAACACTTTGTCATACCCTCAAGTTTTGAGCAGTTCTGCAGGATGTAACCTAACCGTTATATCAAATATAAAACACCTACTGTCAGCAAATTGCAAAATGAGAATTAAAATAAAATCCAGTCTTTCAGAAGCACAGTACTTTCAACACCAAGATATATACATTGAGCTTTCTATCAGTGGCAGTTACTATAACATGGCTATATTATAATCACTATAACCACAGCTACTCATCAAATAGGCCATGATTTTGATTCAGAATCTCAGAATCACTTATATAACACCCTACCTAAACCAGAGGTCCTGCTTGTGACCCTTCCTAGTTTTGAGTTTGTATAAACTTTGCCAGTTTTGATGAAACGCGTGATAGAACAATGTTCCAGGTTTTGCCTGGCACAAAACCAGAATGGGTTCTTACAATCAAGTCCTTATTAAAAAAAACAAAAACCAAAAAACCCCAAAAACCACTTGTTAGTACACAGGTAATATTGTGCCCAGATTTCAAGATAATAGAAAGTAAAATATCCTTTATACTGTCTTTCTGGTTCCAGATACCTTCAGTGATTGGAGTGTCTGAAAAGAACAACCTACACATCTATGGTATACCTTTTCCTCACTATCTCCACAGAAGTTAACAAAAGATTCTGTTCTGTATGTGATACATAATGAGGCCAATAACATTACACACACACTTACCTACTGCACCTTCCAGATGCCACAGAGTCCTACAGAAGTCCTGTGGTTTATGCCAGCACAAGACACTCAGTCAGCTTTCTTTATATGTCACATTGATAAAGTTGGAAAGATCTGAAAATTGCAGGATGAAATAAGGAGGTAACGCAGCTACAAACTATGGCCTTCACTAGAATCCATGGATTAGCTCTGGAAATAGCAACTGATTTCATGAAGATGGCAAGGCCACAGTCACAAACACTGTGACTTCCTTCAAACACAAAGAACCAGCTGACCCACTGTGACAGCTGAGTGACTCAGCTCATTATCTCATTTCTTCTAAAAACAAACGCATGCATCAAACTTAAAACTACTGGAAAAAAGAAAGTATGTATTAATTCACAATTATTTAAGCATAACAAAAGACTTTTTTACCATAAGCATGGTCAAGCACTGGAACAGGTTGCCCAGAGACAACCTGTATGTAGAGTCTCCATCTTTGGAGAGAGTCAAAACCCAGCTGAACAATGCTGAGAGCAACCTGCTCTAGCTGATTGTTTTGAGCGAGTGGTTGGATTAGATATCTCCAGCAGTCCTCTTCAACCTCTGCTATTCTGTGATTCTATGAAGACCACAGTAAGGAAGCAACAGAAATAAAACAGAAACATAACAGAAACAAGAGTACAGCACCAGCTGTTTTTTCTGATTTTTAGATTAAGGTCCAACCTGAAACAAATAACTTGTGATGGAATTTGTAAATGTAAGGATGTGGAACTATCCTATTATGGTGTATTTCCTGTGCTTTGATCCCACATAAAGTTCTATATAGCGAAAACTATGAAAAAAAAATTGAAATCCATAACTAACTTTTAAGCATCTTACACTGAAGCTTTAAAAAATGGCAGAAAAGAGACTAACTAACTAACTTTCTTCAACTATTTCCTTACTTTCACAACTAGTAATTCTAGAAAAGGGAGGAAGCGGTGAGCATAGAGCCTTCTAGAGTGCAATTTAACATACAATACACTCTACTGGAAAATTACAATCAATTCCTCTGGAAAGGTTACAAATCTACATTTCTAAGCTATTGGTAGCTAATAAGTCTCAAATAAAACCCACTGAAGTTAGAACTGTGATACAGTTAAGAAAAAGACGAACCAGATGAAAGCCAGTGAAGCTGATTCTGCTCCTTGTACATAACTACATTCTCCAAGTAGAACCTGCAAGTGATTTATGTAGGAAATAAAATTAATTTCTTTGAGTACCTGAAGTGTTTGGTATTTCATGGGATTTTAATGCAGCTGGCAGTTTATTCACTCACATATACAGTCTTCATTACTTTCACTCCTGAAAATTGCAAGTTAAACCCTATGAACCTATGAACCCAGCTAGATACTTATGCTTCAAACACAGGGAGCAGATTCAAACTAAGCTATGTTTGATGGGATATTAGACTTTTTAGATTAATCTATAAAAAAAAATGTGTCAGAAAATACACATAATTTTTTGCAGTTACCCAGCAGTTCCATTGCATCATCTTCATTGTCGATATCTTCTTCGGTTACAGATGGAGCTGTACTTTGAGCAGAATCAAAGGAGTCCTGAGAAAGCATGGCGGCCAGCAATTTCTTATGCTGCTGCTGCTGTTGTTTTAGTCCTTTGGTCTTTGGCTCCATTTTTAAGCTGTGAGGGAGGAAAGCACAACTTTCTCTTACAATGAAAGAGAGTCTTGGTCCCCCAGATCTGAAGGTTAACACCATCAGACCACACATAAACCAGCTGGTTATCACTCATTCCCTGATCATTGGATGTTATAAGCCAGTTTGTGTTTTCAGTTCCTATCTAAAGTTTTGACTGAATGATGATGGGAAATTTCCCATTGACTTCATGGGAATTAATCAAGTCTAAATAAGCTACATATACAGAATGACAGGTCGATTACCAATCAGTATTGCTAAGGCATTGATCACACAGTAACAAAGCTGAGAACAAAGAACTGCTCCATTGCATGGTTATGTTATCACGACCCCACAGAATTAAGGACTAAATAGTTATAATAATTCTCATGGTTTGTTGACTTGTGTCCCTAACCTAAGTAACAGAAAACTGGAACCGCACAGAATTTAGCAGAAGGGTCTAAGACAGGACTTGCTATAGTTAGCAATTTCTGAATCCTTACAAAATCAAGATAAAGGCAACGGGACAGAAGTTTGGTGACCCACATGAGGATATCAGCAACACCTCAGACTGTCTTATAACCTGTTGCAGGAAGGCAGATCTGTTGCAAATGTATGAAATTTAGTATAATCAAAGATAGTTCATTTCCCATGGCAAAGATAAACACTAATAAAACAAAGTGGACCTTGGAGATGAAGAACCGGTTTTGAGTTTAGGACATCAGGTTATGGACAGGGCCTTTGCAAGCTCTAGTTCTTTTAGGCTGTAAGACACAAGATCATCATATTAAAAATCACCCAAATTCCCCACTGTGTACATACATTATCCCTTACGGAAGTTTTCCAAGAGCCTTGCTGGTTGTCAGAATTTCTCCAGGAAATTTTTCATGTAGAAAACTACTAACAACGGCTTGAAAATTAGTTTAATCCTATTGTCACCACGTTCGAATTTCTGAAAGATGAGCTCAGTACCAGGAGAATGGCCATCAACACTTTTACATGGTTGTACAGGTTTTACGTGGCAAGGTTTTGGTACCAGAGGGCGCTGCAGGGGTGGCTTCTGTGAGAAGCTGCTAGAAGCTTCCCCTACGTCCGATGGAGCCAATGCCAGCCAGCTCCAAGATGGACTCACTGCTGGCCAAAGCCGAGCCAATCAGCAACGGTGGTAGATGACTCTGGGATAACATACATAAGAAAAAAACCCAAAACAGTATGCAGCAATTGCAGCAGGAGACAGGAGTGAGACTATGTGAGCGAAACAGCTCTGCAGACACCAAGGTCAGTAAAGAAGGAGGGGCAGGAGGTGCTCCAGGCACCGGAGCAGAGATTCCCCTGCAGCCCATGGAGGTCCTCGGGGGAGCAGATATCCACCTGCAGCCCAGGGAGGACACCACACCAGAGCAGGTGGATGCCTGAAGGAGGCTGTGACTCAGTGGGAAGCCCACGCTGCCGGAAGCTCCTGGCAAGACCTGTGGACCCATGGGAGGGATCCCATGCTGGAGCAGGGGAAGAGTGTGAGGAGTCCTCCCTGTGAGGAGGAAGGAGCAGCAGAGACAATGTGTGATGAACAGATCACAACCCCCATTCCCCATCCCCCTGTGCCACCCAGGGCAAGAGGTAGAAAAGAGGTAGAGAAAATAGGGAGTGAAGTTAAGCCTGGGAAGAAGGGAGGGGTGGGGCGGAGGTGTTTTAAGATTTGGTTTTCGTTCTCATTATCCTACTCTGATTTGATTGGTAATAAGTTAAACTAATTTCCCCAAGTTGAGACTGTGTTGCCGGTGATGGTAATTGCTGAATGATCTCTCCTTGTCCTTCTCTCAACCCACAAGCATTTCATCGTATTTTCTCTCCCCTGTCCAGCTGAGGAGAGGAGTGATAAAGCAGCTTTGGTGGGCACCTGGCATCCAGCCAGCATCAACCCACCACAATGGTCCTTTATCACATATCAATACCTTGCCTTGCTGCCTTACAACAGCAACAGAGAGCAGTACAAAATCAGTGCCAAATGCAGTCTTTCCTCTGTAGCAATCCAGAACATTAAGGGCAAAAAGGTGACCCTTCATGAGTTTGACAAGACATCACTAATACAGCTACCTCAGACTGGCTACACTATCTTTCCCAGTCAAAGTAATAGCGAAACCCATCCTTTCGGTTGCTCAAATTAATTCCTCTTCTTTTCTTTTTCTAAGTAACTGGGCTTGGCTTTTAGATATACAACATGTGTGCTTCCATTGCTCATCATCACAGGCATGTATGCTTTTAAGGAGGAAATAGTGTTTTTTCCCCACTGTCCATTACTGAATGGAGAAAAAAGTGAGGTTCATGGTTGTAAAGACAGAAAAAGCAGACAACTCACAGATTCTGAAATATCATGTGCTACATATACTCACAATGACTTATGCTTTATGATGAAAGACCAATATTACAAATGGGCACGTTATCAACATACCAGTGGTCCGGAGGAACATGCTGTTCTCTGCAGCCTATTCAGTCCCCCACAGCATGCTATGACTGTGTAAGGACCCAGGGCTTCCCCCTCCACCAAACAAACAAAAAAAACCCCTTGTATGCTATAGTCTGTGAAAACAACATGGAAAGAGGGAGTTGCATGACACTGATGGCAATTCCTCATTGTGATGACAGTGATCTGTCAATGCCTAATCCTCTGGATATTTATATAGTATCTCATTTATGTAGCATTTCCTTACGTTTAGTAATAGATAAAAGAAAACGTATTACCCAGAAATAATGGGTCAACTACAGTTTTCACTTTCCTGTTCTTAGGCTGTAAGTGAAGATTAGGATTAGTTTTAAATCTTGATTATCAGTGATCAATAAGTATCACTTTTTATTAAAAGCATTGACAAATCAAGTTTAACAATATATAATTGGAAACATTTCATATGAATTTCAAATTGCTCCCTCTTTCAGTTGCCAGGTAAAAATGTAACTGAATTATTTTAGGTTATATTAAATATGAAATAGACAAATTAAATACAGATGAGGTAGCCAAGAATTCTTTACAACTGATACCAACTTCACTCTTTGGAGAGTTTCATTTAATCTCCTAAAAATTATTCCCACTACTTTTGGATGTTCTAGGTATATGCTACATTATAACTAAATTATTATTACCGATTATTTGTATTTGCTGTGTGTGTATGTATGTATACCCAATTCCAAATTCTTCAATTCCCAGTAACACTGAATCAGACCTTGATGAAATTGCCTGTTACTAGTGAACTGTTATTAAATATTCAGATTAACTTTGATCAATATGGGTCTTTTGAACTTCCATAAATAGGTGGCATCAATTTTAGTATTACCACTATCTTGAAGTTCTGCAATTTTATGATTATTTTGCAAGACTGCAAAGATGCTTTTTATAAATGCCTTACAAAAGCTGATGAAATGCTAATGAAGCAAAGAATTATCCCAGACATAAAATCAGTCATCCAAATGTAAATCCATATGCTGCATGTAATTTAGTAGCTATTCATTTCCACTGAAAATCAGCATTCCCACTTAACAATACATATTTTTCAATTTAATGCACCTAAAAACTAGAGATATCAGTGTCGCCTGAGTCTTCCTGGCATGAAGTACTCCATAAAATTCTCCTTATTTCATATGCCAGGCAATGTGGTTTTGTCACGATACTCAACAAGACTTCTCAAATACTACTTTCAAAGCCATTAATCACATTTTTTAATTATAGCATTAGCTGTGAGGTTTCTCACAGCTTGTACCACTCTCTACAAAAAGAAAAATATGCTGCTTTGAATCATCTTTGTTACTCAGAACTAAATCTCTTTGCTCCCTTCTAGAGATCAGAGATGCTTATTTCTGCTCCTTCCTATTGAAAGAAGGGATACAATATCCTCAATTTGCTCTGCAATGTGGAACAGACCTTTATTCAGTGTCTTTATGGGACTGCTGAATAAGGAAAAAGAAACCCAGGCCCTCACAATCAAGCTGCAGTGCCAGCTGCTGACTCCATTACTTTCCCAGGAACTGCACTGGAAAGACCCAGTGTCTGAGTTCTGCTGGTTCCAGTCCAGCGTCTGGCTGAGGGATCATTACTACGTGCTGCTACTTCTTTGAAATAGTAGTACTTGCAGCTTCCCCCACAATAATCTAATTAAAAGAAGAAAGAAGTGCTCATGGATAACAAACATTCCCAGCATGTGAGGAAAGTTAATGAATACAGCCTGTATGAGTATAGCCAAGTGACAGACTAGTTTCCCTGTGACAGTGAGGTGAATTCCCATGTAGAAGGCACATGGAGGACACAGGAATATTCACAATTCAAACTGGGGGACAAGAGGCTGGACAGCAGCCTCACAGAAAAAGATCTAGGGGATTGGGCTGATGGCAAGTTGCATATGAATTAACAGTGTGCCCTGGCAGCCAAAAGGGCCAACCGTGTCCTGGGGTGCATCAAGCACAGCATAGCTATCCAGTCTAGGGGGGTGATTGTCCCACTCTACACTGCACTGGTGCGGTCCCACCTCAAGTATTGTGAGCAGTTTTGGGCGCCTTAATACAAGAAGGACATCAAACTATTAGAGTGTGCCTAGAGAAGGTCAACCAAGATAGTGAAAGGCCTCAAGGGCAAGACTTATGAGGAGTGGCTAAAGTCACTTGGCTTCTTCTGCTTGGAGTAGAGAAGGCTTAGGGGTGATCTCATTGCAGTCTACAACTTCCTCAAGGGGGGAGGTGCTGATGTCCTGTCTCTGGTGACCAGAGATGGAACACAAGGAAAAGGAATGAAGCTGTATCAGGGGAAGTTCAGACATTAGGACATTAGGAAAAGGTTCTTTACTGAGAAGGTGGTTGGTCACTGGAACAGGATCCCCAGGGAAGTGGTGACGGCACCAAGACTGTCAGAGTTCAAGGAGCTTCTGGATGACACTCTTAGTCATATGGTTTAGTTTTAGGTAGTCCTGTGTGGAGCAGGGAGTTGGACTTGATGATCCTTATGGGTCCCTATGATTCTATGATAATACTTTAGACCTTTTCAAAGGTAGAGAGTTTCTGCCTTCTTAAAAGAGGAAGAAAAAGATGTCTGCTGCAGAGTACTAGTTATAACCAAGAAGAAAGGCTACAGGGCTCAAGGAGAGCTGTAGTTGTTTAAGGCAATTAACAGAGGCAGTGCACAAGCTTTGCACTGAAAAAAAAAAAAACATTAATCCCTTTTGAAGAAAGGCTGTGAATACTTCACTTTCTCTGATAAACAGGTATCTTTAAATCATGGAAAATGGACTTGGACGTGGCACTTCAGGACATGGTTTAGTGGGCATGGTGGTGTTGGGTTGATGGTCAGGACTTTATGATCTTAAAGGTCTTTTCCAACCTTAATGACTCTGTGATTCTGCGACTTCTTAGAAAAAAATAATCTCTTCCATGTAGCTGAAGTACATTAACAAACAAACATACTCCCTCACCGTCATTCAAGTGCGATAAATCATCAGAAGTTTTTTACCGCAGAGAATACAATTTTCTCTTTGAGAAAGAATCGTTATTAGCACCAAGATGCTAAGTATAAGAACTGAAGATGAATTTAGGAAGTCCTGTTAAAAATAACATAGATACTGTTTCCCTTGCCTCTCTTTCCTTTAAATGAGAAAATCAGATTTATCACTAAAGTGTCAAGAAGATTAACAAACAGCTACTACCAACCGCTGAAAGACAGAAGGGTTTAAAGTATCTGAATGAAGCTATATATCACAAAATTGTTACACAATGGCCCCAGTCTTGTCAACATACACTTAGCTTTATACATGGAAATAAAACGACGGGATTGCAAATGAGTATGAAGTTAATGATATATAAAAGCATGAGAGGAAACCAGTCACATATTAGTATCTTCCATTTATTCTGCATGCTGCCAGACTATGGTGTGGGAATTTAAAAGCCTTGCACTCTGCTCTCAGAAACAGGGCATTACAAAGACAGCTCTGCTTCACAAATTGTAAAATTTCTAGGCAGAACCAAAATCCCACCTTCCTCCAGGACTGCTGCTATCCTCGCTATCCCACTGCTCATTTTTATTTCTTGGTATTGGTGGCTGCAGCATCTCAGCAGCCAGTGGGTCTGCATCATTCTCTTCACGGCCAACCCATTCTCCAATCACACGAGGTCTGAGAAGGGGGGTGTTAAAACCTGTTGTGTCCTGAAGAGAAAAAAAACCCAACAAACCAGAAACATTGCACTGCTTGCTCTCAACCATACATGTCAATAGGAAAAGAAAGAAGAAATAGAAATAGAATTATTCAGTAAAAAAGTACAAAAACAGTACCACACAGTATAATTTCAGAGAGCTACAAAATATCCAGAAACAATCATGGACTAATGAAAAGATGCAAAATTAATAAATACATCTGCATTTGGCATTTTAAAAATAATGCTGCTGGGATTTACATAATGTATCTTTCAATTCTGAAAATTGTATTAAAATTTTAATGAAATGCATTTCTGAAATTAGTACTCATATTTTTAACCACTTACTGGAAGAAGATAGCTGGAGACGATTACAAGAAGTAAACAAAATGCAACTGGAATATTCAAACTAATAGCAATAATTTGCATCATTGTATCAGGAATTTAGATTAAGGAAACAAACTGTCCTTAAACATTGTGTAGAAAAGCTGAAGTGGTGAGTATCTGTTCTCAGTGTTACTAGAACCATTGTAGATAAAGGGTTATGTACAACAGTATAGTCAAACTAAAAAACAAGCATGTATGCAAAAAACATAGAAAATGATGGGACAGGAATATTTCTTTTGCTTTAATTGAACTGTTTTCTAGGCTAGCAAAGACATTTGAAATACGGTGTTCCTAATTAGGAGAGATATATTCTATTCCTTGGCTGTTACCTAGCTCGGTGTCTCAATAAATATTCCTACCATAAAACAATGCTTTCCAAACAAAGAGCATCTGGAAGTAGTACAACACAGTGATTACTTAGCCTAGCAACCATATTTTCTCATCTTCCTACAAACAAACCATTTTTAAAGTCTCTTCCTAAATTGACACAGATAAGGTAAAAGCAGAGTTTGAAGTAGAGGCCTCTCCTGAAATGAAACAAACGAAAAAAGCCTGCAAACGGCTTTCATATGAATACATTTACCCCACTCTGGCTAGACGCTGTAATTTTGCTCAGCAGAGCTCCAAGAGCTTCTGTTTTGACAGAGCCAAACATGACCCAGGCCTTGGATTAGACTCATTCTCCCTTGTTCTTTTGTTCTGCTTTCTGCAACACGCCTGTGAGTGCATTGCTGCAATCCACTCTCCATACATCTGTCCAGAGCTCTCCATCACTTGACTAGCTCACTTTTTACACGACGTCTGTCTTCTGCAAGGTTGACGTGACACAGTAGGACACTGAAAATGGAATGCAGTCAATACAGAAGAGAGAAATCTGAGGAAAACACCATGGATTCAGAGGTCTTAGAATACCTAACCACTGATGTCTTTCTTTTATGTACCTACAAATAGACATTTTCTGTCTGGTGCTGTGTCGTAGGCAGGTAATGTAGACTAGATGACAGTGGCCTCTCGTCACTCGACAGGAGTAACCCATCACAGATGTGACTACCATCATATGCCTATGAGCTAGGAAAAAACATTATTCCACTGCCCACAATGCCTTCATTACACAAGATATCTGTACTAGTTTCTTTAAGTGAGAACCATTTGTACCCTTCTGAGATTTATTCCTGCTACTCTAGCCATTTTCTCCCTTCCCTTTTTCCCTAGGATAATTTCTAATAATTAATAAAAAAAGATTCCTGGAGCTAGTTAAACTTGCAACAACTTGCAGTGTTAATCTTGACAAAAGCTTTCAGTCCCTTAAGTTAAAATGAAGAGCACCTAAAAATTTCCACTTTTTTCAGTACCACAAGTTTTTCCTGACACTGTACACTGCACTATCAGCATATGAATAAGTAAACCATGAATGCTGTATCTACCCTTGTTATGCTGATTTCTTTTCTACACATTTTAGGGATTAAAGTACACTTTCGTACTCAACAGAAATTTAATTTACATGACATAGCCATGCTTTGCCTCACTTTATCACCTTGCTTTCCTTTTTGAATCTTGTTAGATTATTACACCACAGTTTCAGGGACCCAATTTATTTTCTTCCTTTCAACTACATAAGCAGCCACAGTGAAAACAGTAAATGGAATCAGAGAGAGCTCTATTGAGAACACCAGGACGTTTATGTGGCACCTTATTTCAAAAACTTCAATAAATTCAGAAGAAGTACTCTGTTCTCAAACAAGTTTTTATAGGTTTTTTTAACATATAGAAACTTTAGAATCTGATTTCCAATTTATATTCCCTCATAAATGACAGTGACACTAGTCCACACAAAAATATTTAAATTTTAGGTATTTAATCTGCACTAAATGAATCGAGAGGATTATTTTATGGTGTAGTCCAGGTGTCATCCACTTTTTATACACATCAGTGGCTACCAACTTGACACACTCGAGCTTCCTTTACGTGGAGACCAGAAGAAGAAGGGAAAGACTGTAGGAGAGCTGAATCTCATCTTCCTGCTGGGCTGAGAGATGTGGCTGCAGTATGCAACCCCTATCAGGAAGCACAACAACATATGTTTATCCATTTATTTAAGCATAGTTTAAAAAGCTCAGTATTTCTAATTTCTGATATGGATTTTGAGGGAAACTCCATAGTGAGAAATACTTTTGGGTGAGCAGAAATTTGTTTATTTTTATGACTTAGAGTAGTTGTTTCCTCTATTTTATTTATGAAAACCTGTGTCCACTGTGGTAATACTACATGTAAGAAAAAAATATACCCTAGACACAGCATAGAAAAAATATTTTAATATTAACCTTCAGGGTCAAAATCTGTTACGAATTATTAGACTGTCTTCACTCAAGTCTGATTCTGGATCTCTAACACTTAGCTGTCTCCCATTATTAAAGTTTAAAGTGACTGAAAGTCATTATTGGAAATTCCAGACAAATGTCATAATGTTATAACAGGTCTCACACTATCTTCACTACATGAAGCTTAAGTAAAGCACTAATCCATGGAATACTGGAATTATGTGAAAATCTCATCTATTCAAAAAGAAAGTATTTCTAGTTTTAGTATTTGCAGTAAAAAAAAAAAAAAAAGCTTGGAAAACATTCAGTAAGTGTTCTTTAGAGAATCAAAAGCCATAAGATGAATAAACCTTCCCCTGCCTCCTTTCTAACTGCTTGAGAATTACATTATTTTAGTCAGTCTTCAACTGTGGCAAGAGGTAAAGGGTGTGACTCCTTACTTTGCATGGCCTGGTTCAGAAATATTGTTGAAATGGATGCAATCATATAAACCCATTTTAAACCTATTTCTGCATTGTAGCATCCTGGCTACATTCTGTCTCAATGTATTTTATAATGCAGACATGCTACAGTGCAACATATATTACAGTTTATGTTGTGACATAAACACAAGTAGGGTCTTCCAGCAGCAGCAACTTCTAGAGGAGGCGCGTCATCAGTAGCCCCATGGTCAGAGCATTTATGTAGGCACAAGAGCTTCAGTAGCATGGCTAGTCCATACTTTGATGTGAATTTGAACTTCCACTTCCCAGGGAAGTATCCTAACAGACTTAGGGAAAACCCTGAAACTCACAGCTAATTCAGTGTTTTTTCCTCTATAATTTTTTAACCAAACTAGAATTCTGAGTATTTCACTGAAAGGCTAACATCCTAGCTCAACTTCTTTGTCTGTGTACATAAAACTCTTCACATTATTGAGAAGCTTTAGCAACCACACACTTTCATGCATAGTTTCTGTGCAGTGGCAAGGAGGATACGTCAATTCAGAAATTTCTAGTATATTAACTCTGTACTTTAGCCTTAAAATCTGAGAATCACAAGGCATCCCTTCTCATTTTCTTTCCTTACACAAGCAGTGCCAGTTGCTGATTTTACATAGCTTCCATGGCGTAGGGACATGGTCTGAATCATCAAAAGAGACTGAACACCAAACTCTGCAAGTCTGAAGTAAATGAGATGAAAAAGGAGAGAATCTATAGCATAAATCTGTTTTAATTTCAGTAATCTTAGTTTTTTTTTTTTAATCATATCAGTGAACTCCAGAATTTTATTAGACTCTGTCAAACTGAAATCTTCCATTTTTACTAACCTTGTCTGCCTGTATTTTCTCTACCTCTGCCTTGGACTGAAGCCCTAAGTACTGGCACAAAGCTAATAATAGCAGATATTTGACAAGAATCCATTTAAATGAAACACCCTTCCACGAAAGTGATTGTAATTCAGAGCAAACTGGTTTTCCAAATCCAAATGCTCTAGTAACTAAGCAACTAACTAATTAACTGGATTACTTGGAGGAGTTACATCAACCAACAATACCAATCAAGTACTCCCCTGACAAAGGCAGCTAGAGGTTACTGCAGCCAGAAAGAAATATTTTGTTTAAAAAATACTTACAAAGTAAAACAAAACAAAGAAACATACACATGCATTCTCTGTTTTCTCCAAATCCATAATCTAAAACACAGATAAAACAGCAGGATTATGGGCTCTGTCCTAATCCCCAAGAATGTTTCTCACCACGAGGAGAATAAATTCTTCTATGTGCTCTTCCTTCCTTTATTATTGTATTTAGTTTTATGTCTCTCATGACATCTGTGTAATGCCAAGTTTGTGCATGCTGCTCTAGACCCATGACATGTACCTGAAGGGTTAAATGGTTAATCCAAACCACAGATGAATGTGGTTTGAAAAATGATTCAGTGCTGCCACAGCCTAGAAAAATAAGCTGTAGTATCAGCATGTATTTCTAGGAAAGGAATTACAATGAACTTGACTACATTTATACCTGAAAAATAAAGATCGTCTAGGAACATGCTCAGGTGAGAAGGAACCAAATTCTGTCTAACGTTAAACCATTATTAAGTAGTCTTTGGTTGCTTTTGGCCCAAGCCAAATAATATACTTAGAAACAAGTCACAGGAACATTTCAGGAATTAGCTCGTGTAAGGGATCATTCCTAAGAGGCAGGATTCCACAGAATGGTCCTGGCTATGCTTACTTTCTTAACACAGAACTAGCCTTTCTGCCCATTAAATATTCTTAACGGGCAAAACAGGAAGTAGAAGTGAAGACCACAGAGACAAAAAATTGTGCTGCTTCTGTAAATCTATCCTGGAAGCCTGTTGAGCAATGCTGCACAAAGTAAGTATGTTAAGAGCTTTATTGCTTGGTTATTTTATTTATTTTCCAAATAACTTTTGATTTCAAGGACATTTAATTTATCTGTCCTCATCAGAAACAGACATTAAAACAGATGCAGTATTTTAAAGATGTCAGGCAATGTATGCTATTGAATGTACATAATATAATGTCAAGTTTTACTCAAAAAAACCTACCACCTTCCAATTTAAAATAATAAACAATGAAGTATATTGTAATAAAAAGAAAATTAACCTTCACTCAGACTGGATCCTGAGGAAATTCACCAACGATGTTCCCCATCTCAATTTTAGCACTGAATAATTTTAAAAACATGAATGTTTTTGAACAGTAATCTATCACCATTTTAAAAAAATCAACACAGAAGTATCTCCTAAAAAAAACATATGTAAAGACTATGTGATAACAGGCTCTGGCCTAAAATGTCTTTTTCCTCCCACAATCAGTATTTCACAGTTTTGTTCAACAAACAAAAACAAATGAAGAGGAGTTCCTCATAAGTATTCTTCCAGGTAGGGTTTCTTAATGGAAGGACTTTCTAATTGTATTTCTCATCACTTGTAAGCACAGTAAAGGAAATAGTAGGAAGGAAGACTTAGATACTGTTATACTCTTAAGATGAACAACAAGATAAAGCAAGATCAAGGGCAAAAAAGTAAATGCCATGGTTTTGAAATGGCAGCCCCATATGCACATGACTGCATGGTAACAGTGCTCAATCTTGTTTAGCTGGCCTTTACTGGAGAACCAGGTGGAGATAACTTATATGCACTTGTGTCAGAAAGGTTCATGCCCTAATTTTACCAAGAGAAAGGAAAGATATTTTTTAAATTGTATTCTATATTAGGCATTGTTCCTTTGTCTTATATACCTTGTGATCCTATTTCCTTGATAGTAACAGTCATCTTGGCACTAGAAGCATACTGCTGTTCACTGGCAAGATTAGGGAAAAGAAAGGTGTTCTGTTTCCTTTGGAACTTTGAAAAATTAGCTTGATTACTCTTTCAGCATAGAGTTCATTACAGCTAAAACTAAAATTCATGTTAACTGTGTAATATATAAAAAGAGACAAAATAGAAGAGATCATTGTTTGTTGCATTCAGCAAAGAAGACTGATCTTTATGTTTTTTTATCATTTCTATTGATTCATTTGATTGAACTGAATGATTTTGACTGAATGATTTTTGACTGGTGATTATCAAATTAAATAATTTGATTCATTCCTGATCAAATCTAGGGAGAAAAATTACTCCTAAATATTCTCACAAATCATATCTGAGAATGCAGAATTCATGACTTCATAAATAAAAGGCATTGAAAGCTAAATGTTTCCAAAAGTACACAAAGTAACCCAACAGACTATATTAAGCAAAGATGGTATCAACATCAAAAGCATTTCCATGGCCTCATTAAAAGTCTCTGAAACTCAGTGAAATTTTTTTCCCATAGTTGACAGCCCATCTTGGATCAAGTTCTCGTGTAATGTATCAACACATACTGTACTTACCCATGTAACTTTGCATACCTAAACTTCCTCTGAACCCAACAGAACTGAAGTGTGTATGCCAGGTCAGGGAGATGCAGCTCTCATTGTCTGAAATTATCACAATCATCTGTCTTTCTGTACTGTTCATTAGGCATACAATAAATCTTACCTTATCAAGTTCATCAGAAATAGCAATGCCTGAAAACAAAACAGATTAAAAAAAAAAAAAAGATTTAGAAACATTCGTTCTATAAATGTCTTTTACTGTAGTAAGTAAAAGTAAGGCTTCATCTGAAAAGTTTACATATTGTTCTCTGCACACTGCTGTACCATGCAATGTATCATACTTTGTTCCATTAGTGAAATTGCCAAGAAACAATATACTCTCAACTTTCCTCAGCTGCAGTATTATCAAAATGAGTTTTCAAAAAACTGTGGAAATGGAAACAGCAGATGTGCCAATAAAGTGACAATGAGCTTAAGTATACTTCTACCTGCTTTCTAAAATTAAACTAGCAACGTAATATTTACACCTGGATACATTATTATGCAAATCTCGCCCTGACCATCATGTGTAACACCATGCTGCAATTACAGGGCAACATGGATATGACTCTTCTCTCTTTCTCCATGGTTCAATGTAGGAACAATTCTATGAAAGTAGATGTAATTTAGAGAAGAAAATCTCAAAGTAAAATTTCACAACAGAATGCAAAACAGTTTTTCTAATCCCTTTGAACAAGAACTTGTTTATTTGCTCTTGTCCCTTTTGATGATGCCTGCCTGAGGCTTTCCTTTTGCTTGCTTCTATCATGCCATCTAACTCTTTTGACTACCCTGTAGCACATTAAACATGCACAGCTGGTCTCAGAATTTTTAACACATCTACACACCCCATCATATCACATGGAGAGATCAATCAATCATAAATCGAATGCTATCATGTTGAAAATTCTAATGTATTGAAAGCAAAGCATTTCCCAGGTTCCTATGAGGTTTGATAAGAAACATTTCCAGGTTAGAACTCCAATTCAAAAACCAAAGAAAAGCATCTCCTGATGGTGAAAATAAAGGGGAGAGTACTCATGTATACGAAGAACACGCACTTGAAATTTGTTCTCTAATTCATACCACGTTATCAAGACAACTTGTTCCAAGGAACACAAGAGATGATACTGCAAAATATGTAGTATCTGCTGAGGGGAAGAGTTACTCTTTCTAAAATCACACTAAAGATTGCAGCAGTTATAACCTTGTTTCCATGACATTCTTATTTCTTGCAATTTGGTATACCATAACTAAATGAATTCTTTTTTTTTTTTCGTTACTGTGCTTTTAATCATTAACTCCATATGGCTAATTCTCACATTAGATACTTCCTTATATTGATTTTTGTTTTAAAAACAGTGAAGTGCTAGGAGAACTGCAATTGTAATTTTAAGACCTGATCAACAGACAGGAAATATGCCTGGAGTTAACAAACAATTTTCAGTCATTCAATAAAGTAGACTGTATTGAAAAAGATCCATTTTGCCTAACCCTACTATCCCTCACAGCAATTAACCTGTTTTAATAACTTGAGACTTTTATTTAGCCCAGACAATACACTAATGTCCATACAGTATAATCAGCAGGTTGCACCAACCTGAATCATTCAACAGGACTTTAATGTGTTCTGAATTTCTTCAATCCCCAATGGGCATTTACTAGCAAGAAGATAACTGCACTCTTGGAAGTAATAAAAGTATAATTCAACGTTCTCTTTATCTCAACTTTGAAAACCTGATTTCTATCAACCAGCTCTCCATCACATTGGATGTATTTTGCATAACCAAGGTCAATCCATGTTACAACCACAAATGCTCTCACTAAAGAGACAAACAGCCTTTCCTCAGCAATTTCCCATAACGTTAAGATGGTCCATTTTGTTTTGATAAAGGTTTATTTCCCCAGATTAGAGGTTGGTTCCCTTTTCTTCTGCTTTCACAGATGCTCTGTGAATGGGTCTTTGAAAACTGGGAGCAGACACAAGAGCAATTTTTCCCTATGCTGACTTACTTGTTAAAAATATTTACTTTCAAGTATAGCAAAAGAAACTACAAAAGGTAACCCTGCCATTTCCAGGACTCCATTCCAAAAAATGCCAAATAGTTTACAGTTCAACTGTCTATGTTGCTAATCAGAGATGAGTACTGAAAGCACCAGATAGCAAAAACTGTATATACAACTATATGCCTCACACAAAAAGCTCTAGCAACTTCTCTGATTAAGTTATATATAAAATTGAAAAACATCCATAACTTAAAGCAGTGCTTTTAGTAAAATGCTTTTTTGTACAAGTCCCACTGGTTCCCCACAATTTACTCTGAATTTAGAGAAGACTCAGCTGAGTAATTGAATTGACCAGAATGCCTCAAATTTCTTCTTTACTAAATTGCAAACAGGAGCAAGACACCAAGATGAACCATATTTCTTAGATAAACATGTAGAGAGGTAGGAGCTTCTGAGGACATCTTGCCAAAATAAAATTTTAAAAGTTTGGAAAACTTTTATCTTTGCAGTCACAGAATTAAACCTGAAAACTCTTTTTATCTTTCTCTCTGATATAGTATCAAGAGTATTCAAGAGTAAAGAAAAGATATTTCTTCCTAAGAATCCTTTAAGGAGCTTGTTACAGTAATCTTGGCATGGTGTTTCTTCTGGAGGCGGGATTTACCATACTGTCATACAGATTTTTATGTTATGGCTTCAGCTCATTAACATTAAAAAACCGCCATTAGTTACTGATAATACAACTCCATTAGCAGAGACTGGGATAAATTAACCCATAAAAAGGTGGGTGTAAAGAAGCTTCTCATTTTCTTCCAAGACACTACTGCAACACACACTTAGTGTGCCTACTCTTACCAATTTTCTTTTGCAGTTGCCAAACTGACAAGGTAAGCTCGGCTGAAGCTGAGAGCAGGGGGGGACTTGCACCCTATGTGCAGTAGACAGAAAATCACAACAGTGAGGTGATTTTTTGGGTGCAGATTTCAGGTGGAAAAATATGGACTCCAGTTTTCACAAAGCAGTTCCTCAAAAAATTAAAGCCATTGCATATATCACCATAACATAAAAAAACCCCACCACCACCCTTAATCCAGAATCCTGAGAACACACCTAGAGATAGTCATAATTATCATATAGGAGTATTTAGCATTTCTGTTATTCACTTAACCCCTAGCACACTCCTGACTTTTTAGTAGTCAAATAGGTTACTGTCAGTTACTCTATTTTCAAGTAATAGGTGGACAATTTAAAAAACTTGAATTTCTACAAAGTAATGTGAACAATGGTTGCTATCTCCAGTTCATGTAATTGCTAGTGTTCAGATATTAGCATTTTTCAAAAAGAAAACCCTCTTTTCACTTATTTTGTATAACTGACAACAATTGGTCCTGCTCTCTGTATGTTGTATAGTTATTTTCGGTTTTTTCTCTGTGGCTTTCATACAGTGTAAAAGAAGAAAAAATAAATCTTGGTTTTTATATATTCTAAATAGGAAAATGTCATTGTAAAAATCATTTTAGTCCATACACTAAAAAATTTGTATCTAACAATTTAGTGACTTCCTCAAACTGTAGCCTTTTTTCATCATAACTTAATACTAATCACCAAAAAGCTCTAACACCAGAAAAACTGACACACCTAGTTTGTTCAAGCTTGAATACAGTGGTTTTGTTATTAGGAACAACTGATTCTGACCTCCCTCAGTTTAAAGCATTTAAAGCCTGACTGCATAATGGTGAACGTAGAGAATGGAAGTTTTAGGGCTGTTTCATCATTGTTCTGCCTCAAGTCACTGAGCAGCTGATAAGAAGGGGACTGTTGAAAAAGTTCTCCCTTTGTTGGGGAAGGTATTCTGATGTCAAAGGCAAATCCTTCAGAAATAAAGAAGTATGACTTTACCCTTTCTCTCACAGTAGCTGTTTCTCACCGACATTTGCTGTAGTTTCATATAATACTATGATTGACAACTATACAATAGTCCTACCATTCTTAGTTTTTGCAACAAGAAAGTGCAATGTTCTGACTAACAGAGCGAGAGGTTTGCTTGCCGCCATCAGCTAAGGTTCACAAAGTTTACAGTGGGAATTAGGCACCTAACCACCAATTTTATGTCTTTAAAAATCCTTCCTTTTACAAGTAATTAAGGGTGCTGAATTTTGATCAGGCATCACAAGTACCCAGCCCACTCAGCTGTCTGGTGAATTACACAGACAGATTCAGGGCACTTGTTTCTACTTTTGAGTGTAATGACCCTCTGTGCTGTAAGAGTGCTGGAACAATAAAGTAATTGGACTGAACATGCTTTCACAGTCCTTCAGAAATGCTCCACAGGCACAGCTACTGCCGTCTCTGACCAGCAACGAATCTAGAGTGGGGCTGTTCATCCTAGCGCAGCCTCTCTCAACTGCAACACTCTCCTCCTGTGAATAGCTTGGGTTTTGAAGAGAACTGGAAGAACAAGGCTTGATTGCAAGAAAGGTCTGCACACTAGGATTAAATGAAACATGACTACCAGACAGTGTAATAACAAAGCAACTCATTAATACTTATTATACTTTAATTACTATCATCATGCCTACATTAAGCAGATTGCCCTAAAGCACATCTCACTGTATTAGCCATGTACCTTACGGCTTTTTCATACCTAAAGTATTAAACGAGCTGTTTGCCATGCCTTTTTTAAAAATTAGCATGGATTATTAAATTGCCCATATATATACAAAATCATTCTTTACACATTAATCTTAGATTTCAGTTCCAAATCCTCTATCCCTTCAGCAATCTGCACTAGCACAATGGTAAGAATTGAGGAATAAAGATGATGATCATTACAGCATTATAGCATCTTCTCTGATGAAAAAGCCACCCCCCCAAATGTATCTGCACCATGTTTTAATGAAATAAGATCCCTTTTGAGTCTAGAATGAGTATCTTCCACAGTAAAGAAAAAACTTTCTGCTTAGGACTTTCTGCTTAATTTCTAGCTTACTAGGAAATGAACTTTCTTTCAAAAGAAAAATGACTGTTGTTAATAACAGTTCCATGAGTCTTAAAAATGCCTAGCTCCTTCATATGCAGTTCGTAGCAGTAGAGTTTTATTTGTTGCTGCTCTCTAGCAACAAATAAAATTAATCCAGTACCTAATG